ACCACATAAGCAAAAAGAAAAAAGCCAGAAGTGGCACTGTGGCTCAAGTGGTAGAGCGCTAGCCTTGAGCTGAAGAGCTGAAGGACAGCGCCCAGGCCCACAGTTCAGGCCCCACGACCGGACCCAAAAAAAAAAAAAAAGAGTGAGCCAAGCAGATACCAGGACAAGAAGAATTCATCAGAGTAAAGGCCTTTAGATACAAGTGCCTATAATGCATTTGACAAACAGAGAAGAAGCCAGAATGAACAAGAGCAGGAAGAAAGCAGAGAGGCAACAGGGGCCAGTCCTTGTGAGAAACGAAGAACAGAAAGTTTGGGCTTTCACTGATGGGGAATAAAGAATATGAAAATGTAACTAGAAAAACTGAGGGTAAGCTGGGCGCTGGTGGCTCATGCCTGTAATCCTAGGTTCAAAGCCAGCCCAGGCAGGAAAGTCTATGAGACTCTTATCTCCAAGAAACAGCCAGAAAACTGGGCCTCACGATTGACAAAAGAAAGAAAGAAAGAAAGAAAGGGAGAGAGAGAAAGAGAAAGAAAGAGATAAAGAAAGAGAGAGAGAAAAAGAGAGAGAGGGAGGGAAAGGAAAGGAGAAGGAGAAGGAGAAGGAAGAAGGAAGGGAAGGAAGGAGGGAGGGAAGGAAGGAGGGAGGGAAGGAAGGAAGAAGAAAGCTGGATCAAGGGTATAAGTGGGGTTGGGAGGATGGGAAAGAGTAATAGAAGGGGTGACACTGAGCAAGATCTATTGTGCTCATGACCAGACATGTTAAAATGAAACCCCTTTGGTACAACAACTACTTAAAGCGAATTTGAAAAGTTAAAAAAAAACTTAAAACCTAAAAAATTAAAAAGAACATTCTGCCTGGTTCTAGAGGCATGCACTGAAAGTACTTTAAAAGAAAAAAATGACATTTGCTTTTTGTCCTGGTTTATCTTTAAGTAATTGTATGGAGACTTGTGGGGGATTTTTTAAAGCTGCATTTGGCAGAAACTATTTCTCTCCATGAAGATTGTATATACCTGCGCCATTAGCAACCCCCAGCCACCACAAAAGTGCAGGGGCCACAGGTGATGGGAATAAAGCATCTATATCAACCTATTCCAAAGTTCAGGAACTGGGGTCAAAGGTGCAGAACAAACTGAATGTCCAAATGATTAAGACTGTAGGCAGTTTTGACTGGTAAAAGGTAGTTAGGGCTATATGAGGAGAAAAGAAGGCCATTAAGAATCAAAGATCTACTGTTCCTCATCAAAATGACAGCAAGGATGAGGATGAAAAGTTTATAATTGAACTGATGCTCCTGGAAAGGAGCTTGTGAAAACTAAATATAAAATCAATTGCAGGAGTTCTTTGACTGAGACGTCTCATGGCTACAGAAAGGTCTGTCATCTTTCCAGGCTCCATGCAAACATGAGATGGATATAGGTGAATGTGAAAGCATTTTTCAGAGAAAAGAAAAGGTTTATGAGTCTCAACTTACTCAAAATTACAGTAATTTCTTAGCATATTTCATTCAGTAGTTATTAGTTGAAAAAATTAAAAAGCATATGGTCCTTCCTGGATAAAGACGATATAAATACAAACTTGGTGAGACATAAATGCTCAGTCTGCAGTAATCTTTCTGAACCAATCTAGCAAATTGTTTCCTTGGAAATATGTGTTTACTCAGGACAAAGTAAAGTGCAATACATAATAAGAATTTTAAAGAAGTACAAGATTTATCCTTTATCTTGGGAATTATATCTCATATCTATTAGAAAAATGATTGCATACCAGCAATGTTTTTTCAACGAACACTATGAGTACCAAACCAAGTAGTAGTAAGGTGTGTTTTATGTCATAAGCTACAACAGAAATTGAGAGAGATGGAGCCAAGCCAAGCTTGGGCATATGCTCCCCAGAGTTCATCGTGGACTCTGGAATCAATCTGTTGCAGTAAATCCCCACATCCACCCCTTAGGGACCTTTAATAACTGATTTCTTTATGTCTCTGTGTCTCCATCCAGTCATTGAAAGGACTGTGTGACACAATAAATGTAAAATGTTTAGATCATTGCAGAACATGTAACTACTGCCCAATAAATGATTTTGCCCTAATTCCTTTACTTATAACATATATTACTCCAGGAGTCTTTTAGATGCTCTTGAAACATAGCAGTGGGAGCTTAGGCACATTTAGACGATTCTCCTTGGGCCACCCAGAAAGCTGCCCCAATACCTTCAAGAAAGGGCTTTGACAGAGGCCTTTGCTCCCCACTTATTCTAGTATACATCAAAATATTCATAGCCTATCTTTTTCTCAAGTGATTGCTTAAATGAGGCCTGTGGATCCTTGCCAAAAGGAAAAGAAATACAAAGACAGCATTGAGTGTAATGTGTCCCAGGGCTGAAAACAAAGACAAAGTGTTAAGTGTTTGTTTTCTTTGTTTCAGGCAATCCAGATCATAATTGGAGTGATGCACATTGGTTTTGGGACTATTCTAGGTTTGCTGGCCATCACCGATAGTAACAATCTACTGGGCTTTGCTTCTCTTACTTTTCTCAGTGGATACCCATTCTGGGGTGGACTGTGTGTGAGTAGATTGCTGAGAAAACTCTCCCTATAAAGTACCACTATTTCCTTGCAGGATGTACACTGGTGGCTCATGCCTATAATTCTACACACTCAGGAGGCTGAGATCTAAGGGTCATAGTTCAAAGCTAGTCTGGGCAGGAAAGCCCATAAGAATCTAATCTCCAAAACCCAGCACCCAGGACCCAAGTATAAGCCCCATGACCAGCCCTCTCCACCCCTCAAAAATGTAGGCAATTACAGGAAGAGATGACCAAGCATAAATCACAGAACAGAGATCTTGACAGGAGAAAAGAGTTCCTAAAGTGCACAAAACTAAGAAGAAAACAGGAAATCAAAGACATATCCCTGAGTTCCTCTAGAAAATGGAGATAGATGAGGCAATTTAAACAACAGACAAACTGAAGTTCCACTTAAAGATAAATTTAGACCAACTCTTGTTCCATATAAAGTTAAATTTCCAAGCCCATTCTGTGAACACACCATTTCACCAAGAAATCTGTCTATTTCTACAGTTCATTATTTCTGGCTCTCTCTCTGTATCAGCATCCAAGGAATTTTCCCCTTGTCTGGTAAGTAAGAATGTTTCTACTTTTTAAACTCCTTTAAAGATTAATTTGATTTCTGGAGAGATAAATTGAGAAGGTAGACTCAGAAAGTGTGGCTGAGAGTACTTTGCTCAAAGTATTTGTCAGTTGACACTACGGTGCTGGGGGTAGAGTGGGGAGTTGTCCATAAATTCACCACACAGAAATGGCAGAGTCCACGTCCTTACTGGAACTCCCAAAGGTAGGGAGCTGTAAAGATAAGGATTGTTAGGGCTGGGAAGGTGGCTCAGTGGTAGAGCGCTTGCCTTGCATGCTTGAGGCCCTGTGTTCGATTCCTCAGCACCACATAAGCAAAAAGAAAAAAAAGCCAGAAGTGGCGCTGTGGCTCAAGTGGTAGAGCTCTAGCCTTGAGCTGAAGAGCTGAGGGACAGTGCCCAGGCCCAGAGTTCAGGCCCCACAACTGGATCCAAAAAAAAAAAGATAAGGATTGTTAAAGCTTTAAGGCAAAAGCTTCCTGGTTCAATGGGGTCACATTACATTCAGGAAAGTCCAAAGAAGAATCTAGGAATCACCTACTCTCCTCTTTAGTGACCGTGGCTCTGGTACTCACTTGCTATTTCTTAGCTATGTCTTGCATGTCTAATGTTTATTTGTAAATAGCCACTATTCTTCATCAGGTTGGGTTTTGATGGGAAATTTTTTAAGCATCTACCTAGAACATGAGAAGAGCTTATAAAATCAGAGTGGAGATAGCACTCCATGTGTTGCAATTTCCTGGTTTAAATTAACACCAAAAGAAGTAACATGATTTGCCATAGCAGAAATGGTTTAAAGAGTACAAAAATTTCAATAAATGTCATTTTATATGATCATATGCACATAGCTATTGAGCTTTTGTGATCCTCTCCTAAGAATATCCTCCTTTGGTCTCAACGTATGAATATCTAATGTATGAATATCTAGGTAACTCCAAGAAATGGGAACAAAGGGTTTTTTTCCCTTGGTTGCTATATTTTTGTTTTCTGTACCTTTTGTCTTGTTTTAGAGAGAGGAAGGGAGAAGGGGAGTACTACACACTAAACACTACATTGAAAATGAACTATACAACTTGTGGAGGGAAGACAGGAGAGAAAACTTGGGAGAGAGCAAGGGAAGGAGTGATACTGTTCTAAAAGAAATGTACTCATTACCTGACTTATATAATCATAACCCTTCTGTATATCACCATTACAATAACAATTTTTTTCATTTAAAAAAAGAATATAAAAGTTTAAGCACAAGAGGAAAGAATAGAGAAATGGAAACACAGTACCATACTTCTCTGGCTCTTCCCAACAAAACTAAAGTTACATTTTAAAAGCCTAATTCAAAAAATAAAAAGCTTCATTCCAATTAGCCACCCATACTATCATCCAAAAACAAAATAAAGCGTCTTTTTCTTAACCTTTAATAGTTTTTTTTTCCCCTGAAACTGAGATTGTCCAATAGTAGACTCACTCCTCTGGCAAAAGTTGAGCACTGAGGGGTTCTAAAAGCAATTTTTCTATGAGCCTTTTAAAGGTCTTCAGGAACTACCATGGCACTCCAAAGCAGCGGCACATTCTAAGGATTCTAACAGTGCTATCCCTAAGCAAATCAGCAGAGGACTTAGTTTCACAATTCTTCAGCCATATCTCCTAATCTAACTGTAAAAGCTGGAGAAAGTTTTGTATTCTGCCCATGTATCTCTCTACCCATGAAAGCCTAAAAATCTTCTTTTATATTTGGAGATCCTCACTTAGTCCCTAGAGAAACTTCAGGGTTTCCGGTACTCTTTAACTCTACCTGCAAAAATTGTGTATGTGTGAAATTCTTTCCCATTTGTAAAATTAGATGCTAAAATTCATACAATGGCCATAAGAATTTAAATGTAACAGTGTACTCTTAAAAAAATCTAACAGACTTGTTGAAGAATAACACCCACCAAAAGCTTATTTACTCTTGTTCTTATCTTGAAAAAGGAAGTAGAACTGTTATTGTACAAAAGGCTTTTTAATATATTAGCTGTTTTGTATTAGTTACATTTTCTATGGATTGTTTAGAAAGACCCAGCATCTAGGCTAAAAACTTTAATTTTTGTGATAACTACACAGAAAGAAAAAAACATTCCAGCTTCAAAAACTTATTTTGAAATGTAAAAGATTAAAAACCATTAACTATGGTTGCTTTTTATTCCACTTAATTTCATTTATCTTCTATATAACTTACTGTCTCTTGTCTCCAATAGATAAAGGGCAGTCTAGGAATGAACATTGTCAGTTCTATCTTCACCATCTTTGGCATAATTCTTTTTTTGGTGGATCTGATCATCAATGGAGTAGATAACCAAGCCTTCTCGGCCGTGGTAAGTATTATATATAATCCACCATGAGAAGTAGTCTGTTCTTTATTTCCTAATACTCTACAAGCAACTCCGGTGGGAAATACTCTATTTCTATTCCAGTCCTGCCACTAGAAATGTGATTGCTAGGCTCTAAAGTGAGAGAATGCCTTTCACATATGGACAAGGACAGATAGAGCATCCTGCAACCCTTCTCACTGTTACTACATATACAATGGGGAGGGGGGCTTGGATCCACCTCTGGAGACTATCCAGCTATTATTCTCCAACAGTTAGGAATCCATATGCATACATCTGTCAAGTTCCTGAGTAAGAATAGAGTGATTTTTAGAATAAGAATAGCGAGGGGAAAATGGAAGTAAAGAAGGCATCCAGGTTTCACTAGAGAAGCTGAGAATATGATGCAATTGCAAAATGTGTCTCTGATAGTGCTCAGAATAGAATCATACATCCATTAATATCAAATAGGCCAAGCAAGGATTCTGACCCCAGGAAGAAATGGATACTTAGAGGGCTGAGATGCTTGCTATCTGTAAAGAATACAGAAGGTGGTCTCTCAGACATCAACTTCCGTCTTTAGTCTGAGAACAAAGGGAAGCTGCAGAGGAAGTTTGTTTAATGTTGTTTTGTTTCTATTACTTTACAAAAGGCAAACTGGCATTCAATTTTTCAACTAACCATAAAGGCAAATAAAAAAAGAAATGTTCAGTTAGCAGGGTATGGTATGACCTACAATAGCATCCAATAGTACAGACTTTTTCTTAAAATGAAAAACAGTAGGGAACATTTCTCACCTATTGAAGGAAAGTTCTTCCTGAACATATTGTGCTATTGACAGACTTAATAAAGAAATTAAATCAGAGTGATTAATATTGAAATACATGGAAGTTGTGTATGAAAATGGCATAAAGAAACTCAGTGAAACCTGTTGATTAAAGAAAATAAAAATGTGTAATATAAGACAGATGTAGAGTCCCTTAGACAAATAGCCCCTTGTTAAAATATGATATATAAACAAATAATTATTTAAATTTTAAACAGAAAAACATAGGAGGTAACAATGCTCAATAAGAAATGTACTCATTACCCTACTCATATAACTAACTCCTCTGAACAGCATCTTTACAATAAAATAAAAATTTTTGAAAAATAGATAATTACCTATAAACTAAGAAAAAATTATCTTGATTCATTCTCTATCAGTGAGGAGACAATAGAAAAATGTTTATAAAGTTTTGATAAAGGGGCTGGGAAGGTGGCTCAGTGGTAGAGTGCTTGCCTTGTATGCATGAGGCCCTCAGCACCACATAAGCAGAAAAAGCTGGAAGTGGCACTGTGGCTCAAGTAGTAGAGTGCTCACCTTGAGTTGAAGAGCTGAGGAACAGCGCCCAGGCCCAGAGTTCAGGCCCCATGCATGACCAGCCAAAAAAAAAAAAAAAAGTTTTGATAAAAGGAAATTGTGACTCGAGATTATCACATGTGACTCAAGATTATCAAAGAGGAGACAACAGAACAATGTTTATAACGTTTTGATGAAAAGAAAATTGTGACTCTAGATTATCTCCAATTAATACCAGAAAACTGGAAGTGGCACTGGGGCTCAAGTGGTAGACCACTTGCCTTGAGCTGAAGGGTACAGGGACAGCACCCATGACCAACAGAGAGAGAGAGAGAGAGAATATCCAGAACATTAAAAAAAATTCAGCCAGGTGCTAGTGGCTCACACCTATAATACTAGCTACTCAGGAGGCTGAGATTTGAGGATCATGGTTTTAAACCAAGTTGAGCACAAAAGTTCATGAGACTCTTATCTCCAATTAACCACCAAAAAGCCAGAAGTAAAGCTGTGGCTTGAGTGGTAGAGGGGTAGCTTTGAGCACAAAAGCTCAAGGACAGCACCTCGTCTCTGAGTTCAAGCCCCAGGACTGAAGATAAAACTACTTTGTAATCCTGATATTTATGACTCCTGGGAATACACCCAAGAAACATGCAGTCAAGATACTGATATACCTGTGTTATTTATAGCATCACTATTCACAATGGCCAAAGTATGGAATCAGCCTAGGTACACTCAAACTGATGAATAAAGAAAATCTGGGGGAGCCGGGCGCTGGTGGCTCACGCCTGTAATCCTAGCTACTCAGGAGGCTGAGATCTGAGGATCTCGGTTCAAAGCCAGCCCGGGCAGGAAAGACCGTGAGACTCCTATCTCCAATAAACCACCAGAAAACCGGAAGTGGCGCTGTAGCTCAAGTGGTAGAGCGCTCGCCTTGAGCTGAAGAGCTGAGGGACAGCACCCAGGCCCAGAGTTCAAGCCCCACAACCGACTAAAAAAAAAAAAAAAGAAAAGAAAATCTGGGGGAAAAGAGAGTGTGTGTATAAAGGAATAAAGTATCGTTCAGCCATAAAGAAGTACTCAGCCATCAAGAAAATTATGTTATATGCAAGAAAATAGATGGAATTAAAATTATGATGCTGATGTGATTTTTTTTGTTGCTTTGTATGGTCCTCCCCCACCACCCTGTTTTCACAGTATTTGATGTCAGTATAATTTGGGGAGAGGAAGGGGAAAAACAAAATGTTTAAATAGGGATAAAGATTGACCCATTGCAACAATGAGATGAACAAGACACTATGCTGAAAAAATGAACTTTACAATTTAGGTGGGGGGGGGGGTGTAGTTGTGGAGGAAAGAGGGAAGGATGGTAGGGGAAAAATAAAGGAGGAGGTAACAATGCTTGATAGGAAATGTACTCATTACCTTGCTCAAGTAACTGTAACCCCTCTGTACAGTATTTTTACAATAACATAAAAAATTTAAAAATTATGATGCTGAGTAAAATAAGCCAGACTGAGAAAGGCAAATATGTACTATTCTCTCTCATATATGGAATCTAATTCTTCAAAATGAATGTAAAACAGATTCTTTTCATGGGGTGGGGACTACCAGAAGGACAGAGGATGAAGAAAGGAATGGGTATTTTCAAAGCACTTTATACACATATATGAAAACAGTAGAAGAAACCTGTTGAATTTGTTACAAGAAGGGTAGGAGGGATTAGGAAGGGAATTTGACAGAGGGAATAGGTGTGATTGGAGCATATTGTGTGGCATATATGGAAATACATTTGTAGAACTAATATATACTAATAAAAATAGAGAGGACCAGAAAAGCATGGAGAAACTGTATAAATTGTTAGTAGGAAGCAGTAAATCACTGAAGTAGCCAACTAAGACTTAGCAGCTAAAACAATGACAGTTACAGAATTGAATGTAAGTATTTTAATGTTTCTTTTTTTTTGGTTGGTTGTGGGGCCTGAACTCTGGGCCTGGGCACTGTCCCTCAGCTCTTCAGCTCAAGGCTAGTTCTCTACCACTTGAGCCACAGCTCCACTTCTGGCTTTTTCTGTTTATGTGGTGGTGAGGAATTGAACCCAGGGTCTCATGCATGCAAGGCAAGCACTCTATCACTGGAGCCAACTTCCCAAGCCCTAATGTTTCATTTCTTAAATGTACAAAAATTTTACAATCATCAAAAACTCAGCTGAAAAGAGAGAAAAAAAGTTGATATAAAACTGTAAATCCCTTCACCCTTTTTCATAGAAAACCATCAATTTTGACTTCTTCATGGATTTCACAATCATGTTTTTTAGCTGACCAAACCTAACCTTTTTCTTCTTTGAAAATAATTATATACTTTCAAAATACAAAGTGCGATTCCATTCTTTTTCTTTTTTCTTTTTATTTATTTATTTTTGTCTGTCATGGGGCCTGAACTCTGGGCCTGGGCACTCACTGTACCTCGGCTCTTCAGCTCAAAGGTAGCACTTTACCACTTTAGTCACAACGCCACTTTCTGCTTATTTGGTGCTGAGGAATCAAACCCAGGGCCTCATGCATGCAAGGCAAGTACTCTACCACTGAGCCATATTCCCAGACCCATGATTTTTTTTTTTTTTGTCGGTTGTGGGGCTTGAACTCTGGGCCTGGCTCTGTCCCTGAGCTCTTCAGCTCAAGGTGAGGCTCTAGCACTTGAGCCACAGCACTACTTCTGGTTTTCTCATAGTTAATTGGAGATAAGAGTCTCACAGACTTTCCTGCCCAGGCTGGCTTTGAACTGTGCTCTTCATATCTCAGCCTCTTGATTACAGGCATGAGCCACCAGCGCCCGGCTGCCAAGATTCCATTCTTAAGAGAACGTTTCTTTCTTTCATTCTCCATTGCTTGCTCTCTCCTTCCTTGTTTCGCCATTCAGTCATGTTGCCTTTTCCTATGTCTATACAGAGGGAGATCCACAATAGTATGTCAATGTTAATTTTGGTCATTTCTAGGCAGTGATGCTTACAATGATTGCCTTCCATATTGGTGCTTTTTTTAATAGGCAAGTGTCATCTTATAAAAACAAGACACCATTGAAAAAATCTGTTCTTACATTTCTAAATAAAATGATCTGTTTCCCAAAAGGAAAGCTTTCTGATGTTTTAAAGGAACCTCAAAATAAATTTGTATCCCCTAAGATAAGCATGGAGTGAGCCAAATATGAGCAGCAGCACAATTTGATAGTATTTTTCAAGATAAATTTCTGAGTTCAGCTTTCTGGAAAAGGAATATCTTCTATGCTGCTGATTTTCTCCATCTTAGAGATCTGCATAGCATGTACCACAGCTCACTTTGCCAAGCAAGCAATCACGAATACCAACAGGGTGAGTTGGGCCTTTTTTCTGTAAAATAATCTGAATATGTGCTGAAGAAATGAAGACTTGCATTTCTGCTAAATCCTGCTGTGGGCTTATGAGATCATTATTTGTCCTTGACTTTGCTGGGGCAGAAAGACACTCAATGCATTGTAGTAAAGATGTTGCTTATTTTTGTTCCTTCCTTCTAGTCTGCCCTGGCTATTCCAAATATGTATGCAGCCAACCCCGTGACCCAGTCCTCACCAGCTCCTCCTCCCAGATTTGAAGACCACCCAGCTTATGCTCCTAGATAAAAAAGAAAGAAGAGAGCATGGTCCATAACTTCTCTACCTAAAACTACTTAGCTGACGCTAGGAGCGGCCGTTAGTGATATTACCCTAGCACCCTTCTCATCATGAAAAGATGAAAAACTGTGACTCTCTTAAAGTTAGAAACTTTTCTGTGCGTACTACCTTTTCCTCAATAAAATAGCCATTGGGAATATAAGACTCTTGTATTTTTATTGGTATATATTAACTGAGATTAATAGTAAGGGACGTCATTACGACCTTTTTATACATACATATAATGTGCTTTGGTCATATTCATGCTTCCATTGTTCTTTCTAATTCCTCTGCTCCCTTCCCTCCCTCTTTACCCTTTCCTTCTCCCTTTCTAATAGAATGCCCTCTATTTTTATAACCTTAGTTTTCCTTCTAACTTCTACTCATTGTTTATTCCACTCATCAAAAATCCACTTTGGTGGACTGGGAAAGTGGCTCAGTGGTAGAGTGCTTGCCTCGCATACATGAGGCCCTGGGTTCAATTCCTCAGCACCACATAAGCAGAAAAAGCCACTGTGGCTCAAGTGGTAGAGTGCTAGCCTTGAGCTGAAGAGCTGAGGGACAGTGCCCAGGCCCAGAGTTCAGGCCCCACAACCAACAAAAATAAATCCATTTTGGCTTGATACTTGGACAAAAATAGATCTGCTAACACTACAGAACAAACTCATGAAGCCAGCCTGCCTGCCTGCCTGCCTGCCTGCCTCCCTCCCTGCCCCCCTCCCTCCCTTCCTTTCTTCCTTCCTTCCTTTGGCAAGCTGGGTTTAGAACTAAGGGCCTTGTGCTTGCTAAACAGTTGCTTTTACTGCTGAGCCATGACTCTTACCTCAATTTTTGCTCATTTTTGAGACAGGGATTCATTTCCTGTATGGAATAATCCAATTTTGTTAGGCTTCTCAGTAGCTAGGATAAGGCACATGCCACTGTGTCTAGCCCAACACTGGAGTTCCTTTACATACCCATCCTCTACTTTCTGCTCAGAAATCAAATGTTTATGGTTCTTTGGGGGAGCCATATTATTCTGGACAGTGACTCTGCTACCAACCAGCTAGATATTTGTATTACAGCTCTTTACAGCCTCACAGCCTCTGTCTTCCAGAGTCTACCTCCCCTTGTCTTCTTCTACCACTCTTAATTGTCTCAGTTGTCTCTGCTTCCTGAAGTTTTTGCTCCTGGTCACTTACTGACATTCTTTACCCTGCTTTCTCACTGATACTGTTGCTGCCACTTTCTCTTCTTGCTGCCAGTACAGCCTGCTCTACATATTATGAAATTCACAAGTAGATGAGAAAAGACCATTCAGAAGGAGCATTTTCTTGAGCCTACTTTTGCAATACACATGGGGGGGGGCAGCAAAATAGTGAGCCAAACAGCATGACATGCTGTTTGTTTGTATGCAATGCATACAAACATTGTAATTTGCACCAATCACAGTGCAGTTTCCAGTTCCACCAATTACAGGCTTAAGAACCAATCAACAGGCTTCCTACTGGATGACCAGAAAAAGTGCTTCATCCTTGGCCTGAGTAGAATAGTTTCAGGGTAAGCAAGGTCATGTAGAGTTCATGAACTCTTACCTTGGAGCTATGTCTTCCAAACCTATGCAGGTTATCTAGAGTAGACATGACTACAGCAAGGCCTCCCGAAGCAGAAGCTGTGCCTTCAGTAGCTGTGTTCCTTGCAGCTATAATTTCCTTAAGGCCTGTTGTGTTCAAAATTAGACTGCCATAACACAGACCACCAGTTGCCAAAACAGGGGTTGCTCAAGTTGGCAAGACATCTTAAGCATACGTCTTAGGCATAAGGAGGAGGTCTGATAACTGTCAATCAAACCAGCTAGCTCGCTAATGATTTAAGGGAAAAGTATAGCTTCAAAGGTGCTTTCAACAAAGACTTATTGTTAACATTAAGTGTGCTTATCTCTTAGCAAAACAGCTTTAGAGAACATTGGGTTATCCTGTTTCAGTAGTACCAAACATCCTGCCTCTTGGATAAATACACAGCTTTGCTACATTAATATTATTTGTAATGGATCAATAACAGGACA